AGAGACAGAGAGAGAGAGAGAGAGAGAGAGAGACTTCCAGACCGCGCCCCCAGGGCCCCACCCTGCACCGCATTCAGCCTCGGACCGTCAGAGGACAGTGTCTCACCCCCATGATCCTGACACCTCCCAAACCCCACCAGTGAGCGAATGAGGCTTTGCGGGGACACCCGATAAAAGCTGCAGTGTTTCTGGAATGCCTCCACCTCTCTGCACGGCGTCTCCAAGCCTTTACCTGGCCTTCCAAGCTACAAATCCCCTCCACACTGCAGCCCATCGTCCTGCCGGAAGTGCAAGGCTTCTTCACGAGGGCCATGCGGAATGCTCCCCAGCCCCGGGCCCTACCTCTCTCCGGCACCGTCTCCTTGTTCTCCCACGGACCTCAAACAACAGCTCCTTCAGTCCTCGGAGTTCAGGATACTTTTCCGACCCCTTTTTTTGCCCACGCAGCATTTTCGCTTTGCTTGTCCGTAACCCGTTGGACTTGACTCTCAGCTCACTTTCTCCCAGCTGGAGAAGCCACCTGACAGGTCGAGCCCCCTGTCCACACTCCCTTTGCTCTCCTCAGGGCTTTTACACCATGTATCAAACTAGACTGATGCCTGCCTGAGCTCTGTCATTTGTACCCAGTCTGTGTCAAAGAACAGGTTACATCTTGGGTAAATGTGGCACGAACGAAAACATTCCTATCCACATCCCGGGGACATGTTTTTAGTCATTTCTAAAATCACTTGGTCAAGCTCAGAGGCTGAGACTTCTGCTGGGCTATAGATTCTGAGCACCTTAGCTTCTTGCCTTTAAAAGGAGCTTTGCAGGGCATAGTAGCGCACACCTGTAATCTCAGCACTCAGGGAGGCTGAGGCAGGAGGATTGCTTTGAGTTTGAGGCCAGCCTGGGTTTAAGATCCTCTCAAAAAAAAAAAGCCTCCTCTAGCCTCCTGCCTGCTTCTCCAGACCAGTGTGGACAGGTGAGACACTGAAACATGGTAGGGACGAGGGGAAGCCCAAGCTGTTTCACTACCACTTGCTTCCGGGACACGCCAGGAAAGCAGTGCCAGACTTGGATGGCTCCCTCCCTCTGGGCAGAACAGGGACTGCGCAAACACTTCATCAGCTTTTAGATGTGTGCTCTCATCTTGGGAACATTCTTAGAGAGTCGTTTTCTACATGTCCTCTTGGTTCTGTTGGACATAGCAGACCCTTGAAATCGTGAGACTGCAGAGGCCCGGTCCAGTGTGGTATCAAGAACCTGCCAAAGCACACTTCTGAGGGACCGCCCAGACCCCAGGACTCACTCCCCACCCACTGTGTCACCCGGGGGCTCCGGGGAGGACCGCACCGCACTGCACCGTGCTTGGTGTCGGGATTGCTGAAGTGCAGGAAATCACACGCCACGGCAGCACTCAGCATCACGCGACGTGGCTGTGTCGCACATCTCCTGTAGTGGTTTTCATCTTGCAGGGCAAAAACTTCTGTGAAATTTAGCATCAAATCCACCAACAGGAGTCAGGCAGAATCACACAGGTAAGCCGCCTTCCCAAGAAGAAGGCTAGAAAAATGACAAAATCAGGTAATCTTGCAGACAGGCGGCCCTGCAGAAATCAAAGGGCCTGGTGGCTGAAATGACCACCAAGGACAAGGACCGACCCTGGCCATGGTCACAGCTCAGCCCCCCTCCCGGTGGCCGTGCACAGCCGTCACCTGCAGCCCAGAGCTCCTCTCGGACTCGGTGGGCGGTCAGGCTGGTGCAGCGTGACCAGCTGTGACCTTGGACTTCACTGCCTGAGTGACTTTATCTCCGAGATGACCGGCGTTTCCCTCTGCAATGTGTGCAGCGCAGACAGTGCTGGGAGTGGAGCTCGAGTCCCAGCTTCCAGCACAGGAGGCCCAGCCCGAGCATGGGGCCTTTTCCCTCTGAGCTGAGTGGCCCGGCCATGTTACTCGGCCCACCGCTCCCAGACCCGAGTCAGAGAATGTAAACCAGGTGTGCTCACGGCGGGCCCCGTGTGTCTTCAAACTTCAATTGCTTAGGTTGCAAGAAGCAGGATTTGAACCCTTAGACCAAAGAGCAGAGTCAGAATCCAAGGGGTCAAGAGAAATCAAACTGAAGAATAATTTTGCTTTTTTTTTTTGAGGCCATGGGGATTGAACCCATGACAGGCACATGCTGGGAAAGCACCCTACCACTGAGCTACAGCGACATCCAGTTCTGGGCTTTCATTTTCTGAGAAAGAGCAGGGCCCAGAATTAACAGGTTACTTCTCAATACCGAAATGGGCTGGGAAACACAGTGGCGTGCTGAGGCCGTCGTCGGAACTAGGGGCGCCTGTCAGCTGTCTGCAAGACCAGGGCCCCAGGGTCCCCAGACACCCACGAAGAACAGGCAGCCCCTGGACCGGGTCTCCCCCTACCACCACCACTTCCGGCTCAGCAGGAACGGAAGCAAATCAAACAAACGATATGGCTTTTTAAAAATTATTTAATTTAGTATTTTTGGAAAAAAAGCAATAAGGCAAAAAAACTGAAAATATATATAGTTCTGTTTTGATGTGACTTTATTCCACCTGAAGGCTCTAAGCTTCTTCCATTAGCAGGGGTCTGGGGTGAAGCCAGAAATGTAGTGCAGACGGTAGAGGAGGGACAGGGCAGAAAGCGGGGCGTGCAACTGGGGGCCCCCACTCTGTCTGAAGCCCCGAGGAGGCCGCGCTGTGATGGCGAACCGGAGAGGTGCCCTGCCGCTGCCTCGGCTGGCGCTGGGGAAGGTTCTCCGAGAAACCCCCACGGCCCCGACGGAGGGGAGGCGAGGGAAGGGTTCCAAGTACGGACTTGACCAGTAAAACCAGATTCCCTGCAGGGAAGGCTTCCTCTGGAATGATATTTCCCCAGGACCCACACTGGCTGAGGCTCAGCAGTCAAGGAACAAAACATAAAAATTAAAAAAAAACACTAACAAAAAGCATACAAGGAAGGCACCTCAATTTGTGATCCTCGACCAGGGGTGGGTCTCCCGGCGGGTGCGATTTCTGAACAAGACAACTACAACAAATACTGAACAGACAAGGAAGGCAGCCAGGCCCAGGGGGAGCCACTCTCTGGCCACAGCCCGGGATGGGGCTTTTAGCACCCCGTCCTGGGAAGAGGTCCTTCTGGGCTTCATCCTACGTGCGGGGAATCACCCTCCTGACTTTTTCTCCAGGCTCTTCCTCATGAGAGAGAGAGAGAGAGAGGGAGAGGGAGACAGAAGAGGCAGGACAGATTAGCATTTCACTTTCAAGTCAGCTAATGAGGACAGGCAGAGCAGAGCTTCACCAGCTGTGGGTGGCCTGGGCTGCGAACTATGGACAGAGTCCTATTCGGTTCCGATCGCCCATCCACGGCGACATGTCCAAGAGTCCCACGGAGGCCAGGGACACCAAATCCAAGATTCTTAATGGGAAGCAGGGAAATCAAACAAAAAAATTAGATTTTTCTCTACATATATATAATATACAGGTATTTAACACATTATTCCAGAGGCGGCTCCAGTCTGCGGGGCCTGAGGGACGGTGACAACATCTGTTCCAGGCTGACATCGCTCCAATTCTGAAGGACATCAGCAGGACAGGCAAGTGCTGCTCCACATGGGCCACCTGGCCAGGCCGGTGGAGAGAGAGAGGCCAGGACGGGCGGAGGAGGGCCGGAGGGTGGGTGGCCGTCGCCTCCCATCCTGGGTTCTTAGTTCTGGGCCGGAGGAGTCCGCACACCTCGCCCACAATGCGTCCCTCGCGCCAACCCCTGGGGTGGCCTCGCTGCTGAGGAAGGTGGAGTAGCAGACGGGCATCCGCAGTGCAGACGGAAATGTCAAAGATGGAACCGAGCGTTCCAGCCCCAACAGCTCGGGGCCAGGCGTGAACAGTTCCCAGGTCAGACCTGAGTGCCCTCTGGTCACACCGCAGGTTTCTTTCCGAGGGAACTTCCAATCAGCGCTTGCTCTGGGCAGCACCAATCCTGCGCAGATCTTGGCTGAGCGGTATGCGACAGGGGAGGGCTCACCATCATCAGTGGGGCAGAGGGCGGAGAAGAGCCGAGGACACCGGACCTCACTCGAGGAACAACACCGCTGTTCAGCCACACGCCTCTCCCATCCGACGCGGGGTCTAGGACGTCGATGTCTGTGTCAGTCAGCTAAGGCCACCAGCCAATCACCACCACTGGGGTCTGCTTCTGTGAGGGATTTGGAGTAAGTGATTGGTTAAGACAGACCGACGTGAGGGAAGCGCTCGGAAAGAGTCGCAGCGGCCAGCTCCCCACGCATCCTGTCCCGTCTGTTCGATGCTCTTCCTCTGTCACGGGCCATGTCAGAAAATGTCTGGGCACGAGCTCCAGTCCTGCTTCTCTTTGCAATCCCAGTATTCGCCCCTATAAAAATGGGTTAGCTCCTTGGTGACAGGGTCCTTCTTCCGCTCAAACCACAGGGCCTTGTAGGGGTCGTGCGGCGTGCCTGCAGGGGAAGAGGAGAGAGACCAGGGTCAGGGCTGTGCGCCACACACCGAGGCGGCGGCGAAGGCAGGTGCGCTACCATCTTCCGTGGCTTTCACAGCTTCTGCTTCCCTCTTCTTCCGGGACAGTCTCTGCTTCTCCTCCAGGCGCTGCTTCTCGGCATTGGCCTCGTCCCAGCGCCCGTTTTCCATCATTCTCTGGTCAGGCCGCAACCTGCTGTCTGTGGGCGCGGTGCCCCCTTCCCAGGCGTTAAGAGTGAGTGCGAGCTCTGAAAAGTAGTACATGTTTTCTGCATTCTTCCTAGAAGTGGAGGATGAGAAAGAAAGGGTAACAAGCATCGCCTCGGCGCCCTGCAGAGACCACCTCACCCACGCTGTTCTCCAAACCAGAAAAACCCCAGACCAGGTTGGGAAGCCCAGTACAGGGCCACACTGTGCAGCTCTGGCGCCCCACAGCACCTCCCAGTGGTCTCGGGCTGTACTACACGCGCTGCCCAGTGGAAATTCTCTGCGGCTTCTGCCTCCGGAACCTCTCTGGATAACCTGGGCCTGATTGCAGGCTGACTGTACTATGTTCGGCCTGCATCGTTTCCAGTCCACACTGGCTGGGGGCTTTCGGCGCCTTTCTCTCCCACCTGCTTTTGGACTGCTCTGCTTTAGGTCACAGAATGATGCTCAGGAGTCAGGACAGACACTTCCTGGCATACGTGGTCTGGCCAGGAACCTGCTGGGGACGAGGTGTGCCACCCCCCACGTGGAACCACGCCAGCCTCTGGCGACCTCCCCGAGGGTTCCGGGTCCCCTGCTCCTCAGCCCTTCACCTCCCTCGGCGGAAGGCCAGCTGCCCAGGCAGGGCTGCACTGGTACTCACGGAAGAGGGTTCCGTTTCCACAGCGTCACCCTGCTCTCCTCCGCCTCGTGGCCTCTCTGCCGGGCATCACCCCCATTCTCTCCAGCGGCTGGCTGGACTTTGAAACAATCCATTTTCTCATCCCAGGTCCCCAAAAGGGCGAAGTGAACTCTTCCTGACGGATCGGTCACCTCCCCTGTCACCTGTGAGCATGGAGAACAAGGCTTAGGAGCAGAGCACCCACTTCCCCCCAAGCCCAAGTCCTGCGGGGACAGACGGAAAGGAGCAGTCCAGACTCTGTGTTCTTCTCCAGACACTGCTTGCAGTAACTGAGCTGTGCCAGGGATTTAGCTCAGTGGTTCTGCCACCTGCCTCACAAGCGCAAGGTCTTGAGTTCAATTCCCGGTACAAAAAAAACAACAAAAACCCAGTAACTGAGCTGTGACTTGATTTCCTTTTTGTTGTTGTTTTTGGTACTAGGGATTGAACCCAGGGCCTGCACTCTGAGCTTCATCCCCAGCCTTTTATTTTTTGAGACAGGGTCTTCTCTGAGCCAATAAATTGCTTAGACTGGGCTCAAATTTGCAATCCTCCTGCCTCAGCCCCTCAGAGTGCTATTATTACAAGCATGCACTCCCATTCTTGGCTGTAGGGAGATTTTTTTTTTGCGGGGGGGAGATTTTTGATATAAGGGTGTAAGAAGAGAAGCAACGGACTGGTATTAAGAATACAATGCTCTTGACTTACTTCACACTTGTCACCCAAGAGAAGAAATCAGGTCGTTCACGTAGTGACTCTTCCTGACACTGTCTTGTTTTTATGATTCATCACATTCAGAACAGCAACCTACCTGTGCACTTGAATTGTACACACATACTCACACCCACCAGCCCCAAGGGCCACACGGTTAGGTGAATAAACTTAAATTCCAACTTCCCTTACCTTTCTTGCTACATCCCGAGAGAAGTAGCTATAAGGAACAAATTTAAGATTACACTTGTCTCCTGTCTTGTGATTCACAATATCAATTTCACCAGACTGCAAAATGAAAAGGAGCACGGATTAGCTTTGAGAAGATGGGATGGCTGGAATCCCACACCACAGGACCCTTTGCCCGTCAGCTCCCCTTCACTGCAGTGCTCCCTTGCTCGAGGTTCTGGTCTCAGCAGACCCTGGGATGCTATGGAGTGCCCTTAGTCCCCTCACCTTTCCAGGAGACGAAGACCAAGTGACGGCTTTGTGTGTCGCATGTTGGGCGGCACGGCCGACCTTCCCACACATATGCTGAAATCTGCACCACAGTCTACCTTTCCCATCCCAGCCAATCCCCTCTTCACAAACTTCTCTGCTTGAGTCGAAGTACTCTACTCAGTTCCAAGGTTAAACATCCAAAGCCTCCCAGACCGCTCACTGGTTCCTTTCTCCCTCTGACCCCCTGCCCGCTCCCAGACTCAGCTTGACTGCACACCTGCCGTGAAGCCGTCCTGCGGCTCAGAGGCTGGCCCTCTTCTCTGAGTTTCCTGCGACCACTCTCGGCAGCGAACTAACCGTGCATTAGATGCTGCCTCGGTGCAACTTCAGGGCTGGTGTGCTTCGTCACACGCATTTCCACTACATCTGTCACCGCCCTCCGATGACACAGAACTCCCGGAGGACGTGGCATCTGACTAACCCAGCACCTCGCTACAATGACTACCTGCTGAGTAGTGAGAGCGGTGACAGCAGGGACCCCATTTACTGCTCTCTCGGACTCGCTGGTGCCCAACTCAGTCTAGTCCCGGCTGATGAATGGTGCAGTCTGGTCGTCAACAAATGCGACACTGTGCGGGTCTAGGGGAAGCCCAGGCAGTACTGCGGCAGACCGAACTGGGGCATGACACGCCTACCGGAAACCCACGGCCCAGCACAACCTCCAGGGCAGTGCAAAGACGCATCTTGGGAGGCGGTCTGGGCTCCTCACCTGATCGATCCACAGCTTGCCCACGATGATGTTGTGCACGGTTGTGGTGACTTTCTTCCACGTGTAGTGGTGCCCGGTAGCATGAAAAATACAGTGGATGGTACCTAGAAGCAGGGAGGTAGACGAGTGAAGGCAGCAGCGGGCACACAGCCCCACGCAGACTGGAAACAAACAATGGACTGGGTTCCCCCTATGGGCGTTTTTTACTTTAAAAATAAAACAGTACAGGAAAAGACATAGCCTTCCTGAATGTCAGAAGCGTGGCCTGAATGAGTTCTTTAAATGCACGAATAAAATGTGAACGACGACGAATACCGACAGCCAGGACACTAGCGAGGGAGCCGTACTGCGCGACAGCGACGGTACAATGCAGGGACAGATCAAGTGTGGCCAAGGAGAAGAACTGAAACCACACACACGGCGGGCAGAACCGAGGCCCCCGCTAGTAATTAACTGTGACCTTGAACACCACTTTACCCAGGGTCTGAACGGTAAAAGTGTGGAGGACACAGAGCAAGGCTTTGGACGAGAGGCAGATTCAATCCTGGGTTACAGCGCGATCTACATGTGTGATCCGGTGTTGTACAACAAAGAATCTGTCAGGTCTCTGCCCAGTGTATCTGGGAGGCAACACTTAAACCCCGTAAGTTTCCAGGGACAGCTGTTATTCACAGGGGCCCCAGGGCTCACACTAACACCGACTGGTGACCAACCACATGATCAGAGCGGGGCTCTGGCTCACCTGTGCACAGCCCAACTTCCAGACCTCCACGACTATCCAGTCACAGGGAAACGATTACATCAAGGAAATGCACGAAATGAAACTCCAACACAACCTCGGCACACCAAAACATGGTGAAGTTTCTTGACTGTGAACACACAGCTGTCACAGAAAAGCACCGAGCCCTGCTCCCAGGGGAAGGCGCGGAGCTGCATTCAGGACCCTCTCAGGCTCCCCCACGGGGCCCCACACTTGGGGTCCGGATTTGTACTCTGGACAACGAAACTTTAAGGTTAAGGAAGCACGTTCGGAGTCTGGGCCTCTAGCGAAGGACCATATCCGAGGGCTCTGTGGGTGGACAGCGTGCGGACATGTCCAGCAAAGCCGCTGTGCGGGAGGCCAGGCCCACCCACCCCGGGTGCCCAGACCCACAGTCCCTACGGTGCTGCACCCTGAGGGCTTCCAACTCCCCCCGGCCTCAGGTCTGTCACCTGCAGCCCTGGGGTAACAACACCTCACTGTACGTGTCCAGTAAAATGTTTGGACTACTATAGGCACTAACAAGTATGCTTTCCTGGCCTATGAATTAATTTCTAATGAGTGCCAGACCAAAGTCAGCGGTCTGGGCACAGGTTACTGAGGATTTAAAATAATAAAAAATTTTACATAAAGCCAATAACAGTCAATTCCAGTAATGCTGTTATTCCAAATTTCCTCTGTAACCGCTAATGAAAACAACATGTTAACTGTGGTTTAGGCATGTGTTTCTTTTGTTGTTGTTTTTTTCTTTTTTTTTTTCTTTTTGGTACTGGGGATTGAACTTGGGTCCTTATGCTTGCGAAGCAGATCTTTTGCTTTTGTGAGACAAGGTCTTGCTATGTAGCCCAGGCTGGCCTTGAACTCATGGTGACCCTCCTGCCTCAGCCTCCCGAGTGCTGGGATCACAGGCCTGTGGCACCAGGCCTGGCTGATGCATGTCTTTCTTGTATGAAAGATGTAAGTAGACCCGGTGGCTGGCTGAGGGGACAGCAGTAATGGCCCAGGAACAGCAGCTCCGCCGAGGGCCCTTGCTGCCCTGTGCTCCACCCTCCGGCATGCCTTGTCTCCTTAGGCTGTGTAAGTATCTTCAAATATGTGCTGCCCTGAGTCTTTCATCAACACCTTCTCTGTCAGCGTTCACCCCACGAGGCCAAGGCTCTCCTGGTACCAAAGCCAGGCAAGTACTACAAGAGAAGGGAACTACAGACCCACATCCCCTTTGCAAAGTGATGCCCAAAGCCTAGAGAAGATGCCAGGAAAGCAAACACAGCAGCTCCGCAGAATGAGTCTAGGCCATGACCCAGTTTATCTCTGGAATGCAAGGATGGCTTGGCACGTGAGAGCAGACCTGTGAAACAGCACCACATCGACAGGGTGGAGGGGGAAAGGCACACGATCATCTTTGCACTGGACAGAGTTCAATACTGTCATGATTAGAAACACTCAACAGAGCCAGAGATCTAGCTCAATGGCACTGCACCTGCCCTGCAAGGCATATGGTCAGTCCTTGTGCTGATCCCCGGTACCAGGAAAAAAAAACACTCAACAAACTAGGAATTGGGCCAGGATTTAGCTCAGTGGTGCCACCACCTGCCTCACAAGTGCAAGGTCCTGAGTTCGATCCCCAGCACCAAAAAAAAAAAAAAAAAAAAAATAAAAAAAAAAAAAAAAATCAAAGAACAGAACAAGAGAATACTGAGGAGCAAACTTAATCAGTGAGGTGAGAACTATAAAATACTGTCCAAGAAAATGGCCAGGTGTGGTGCCGCGGGCCTGTCACCCCAGCACTCAGGAGGCTGAGGCCAGCATGGGCTACACAACGAGACCCTGTCTCAAAAGAACAAAAAATTAAAGATATTACCTAATGCATGGAATTTCAAAAAATAAGTAAACAAATAAAAATTTAAAATGACATGAGTGTAGAAGGGATGCCAAGGGGGTGATGGTCAGATCTACATGTGTCACACACATGTATGAGCAGAACACACCGAAATGCAAGATTGTGAACAAAAGGCACTATGATAAAATTAAACAGAAACGCATCCCTGTTCACAGAAGACTTACCACACCATCTAGAGCAATCTACAGATTCAGGGCAATCCCCATCAAAGCCCTAATGATGTTTCTTCCAGAAATAGAGAGACTCGTCTTAAAATTCCTATGGAATTGGGACGGGGATTTGGCTCAGTGGTTCTGCCACCTGCCTCGCAAGCACAAAGGGCTCGAGTTCAATCCCCTGTTTTAAAAAAAAAAATTCATATGGAATCTCAAGGGATCCTGAATAACTAAAATAATCCTGAATAAGAACAGAACTGGAGAACTCACACTTTCTGATATCACACATATTGTGAGGATTCACAGTCATCAGGAGTGTGATACTGGCACCAAAGACGTACCGAGGGCCTCGGGACAGGAACAGAGGCCAGGTGCGAGCCCTGTGTGTGCGCTTGGACCATCTAGGGAAACAAAGGCCAGTCCTTTCACTAGATCCACGGGAGAACCGCACGTCCGCATGCCAAGGAATGAAACTGGACCCTTCCTCCTAATATATAAAAGTTAACTCAAATGGATCAAAATGGAACAGCTCACACTTAGCTCAGAGGAAAACACAAAGCAAAGCGGCGGTGCGTAGTGAGTCCTCAGTCCCGGCACTCAGGAGTTCAAGGCCAGGCCAAAGTGCACAGAGAAACCTCATATGAACCCAGACTCCCAGAAACAGAACAAACACAAGGCACAAGCGTCATGACATGAGACTGCTAGGCTGCGAATGATTTCTTGAACAGGAAAACAAAGGCACAAGCAAAATAAAAAACTAGACATAATGGGGCTGGGGATGTAGCTCAGCAGTACTGCTGCCTGCCTCGAAAGGGCAAGGTCATGAGTTTGATCCCTGGTACTGGGAAAAAAAAAAATGGGTTTCCTAAAAATTTGAAAAATGTTGGGCATCAAAGGGTAACATCAACACAGTAAAAAGACAACACTACATTAACAGAATGAAAAAAAAGCAACCCTACATGATCGTCTCCTTGACACAGAAAGGAAAGTATTTATAAATCATATTTCTGATAGTTACCCAGAACAGAGAATTACTAAAACTTAACAACAAAAATAACTCCATTTAAAAATGCAGCTGGGTGTGATGGGCCCCCCACCCCTGCACTGGGGAGGCTGAGGCAGGAGAATCACTGACAGTTCAAGGCCAACCTGGACTATGTAGTGAGTTCAAGTCCAGCCTGAAATGCATAGCAGGGATCCTACTTCAAAAGAAAAAAAGTACAGAGGTGATCAAGAAACATTCTTTAAAGAGACACAAACAGTAAGTATGTGAAGAGGCACTCAACATCACTACTGAAGCAAAGCCTCTAAAAGTGCTGGAACACTGAATGTTCTGGTCCCCGCGGGAAATACGATAGTGCCTCCCAAACCAGAATCAATCACCACGTGATCCAGTACCCCACCGTGGAAACAGAAAACAGGGTCTCCAAGAGGCGTCAGACACTGAGCAGCACTGCTCATAGCAGATGAACGGGAAGTCAGCCCGGGGCCGCTGACAGACACAGGCACAGGCAGAATGTGTGGTCTCCCAGAGGCTGGATACAAGGAAGGAGCCCCCGGAACCTCAAAGAGGATGAGCCCCCAAGGCAGTGTGCCCAGCAAAGCGAGCCAATCACAAAAGGCACAGTACCATCAGGAAGAACGGGGGCATCCAGGCTGGGAGGGAGGGGCCGGGTCCCTGCCGTGCACAAAGAAGGGTCCAACGGAGGGTCCCAGGCTGGAGGAGCTCATGGTGCCCAACCCCACACAGGTACTGAAGACCAGAGCTGTGCAGCAAAAATGGGAACACGCTAAACTTTAAGTTATGTGAATTGTACTAAAATTATAACAACAGAGAAAGAAAACCAAGAGGCCAGAAGGCGTGGGATGACATTCAAACCGTGAAGAGGGAAAGACTGTCAAAGCAACTTCTATATCAACAAAGGAGAATCAAGACATCCCCAGATTAACACAAACGGCACAGATTCATAACTAGCAGATCTACCTTAAAAGAACTACCAGCCAGAATCCCTTGGGCTGAAACAACTACACTAATAAATAAAGAAGCCAGGAGTGGGGGAGCATGCCCGTATACCCAGCATTCCAGGAGGCTGAGGCAGGAGGGTCACAAGTTCAAGCCCCGTCTGAGCAACTCGACAACTTAGCAGGACCCTGTTTCTAAGTGAAAAATTAAAAAGGTTTTAGGGATGTAGCTGAGAACAAAGTTCCTGGGTTCAATCCCTAAAACCACACACTAAGAAAAAGAAAGGAGAGAAAAGAAAAAGGAAAAGACAAAACCAGACCATAAAGAGAACTACAGTTAAACTATGAGAGCTAATGTAAGCGTAGTTTTGCTTGCTATTTCTTCTCTGTGATTTAAACTGCATAAAGTAACATGAAACCATATATATCATGAGATTACAATGTATAAAATATATCATTTATATGAAAAGAAATGCACAAAGTAGGAAAAAGGCAGTAGATCTATGTATGTGCAAAGATTTGGTTTTTTGAGACAGGTCCTACTATGTAGTTGACACCGACCTGGAACTCACTATGTAGCCCAGGCTGGTCTCGAACTCACAGCGGTCCTCCTGCCTCAGCCTCCCGAGTGCTGGGATTACAGGCGTGCGCCACCACGCCCGGCCCACAAAATCTTTTAAAATAAAGCTTCACCTTACCTGGAAGTCAGCCAATACATGAAGGATACCTAAGCCACGGGCAGAGAGAGAGGATGGGGAGAGGCCAGCCAAGGAACCTAGCCCTGCAATCATGTGTGTCCTGCTGCAGACAGGACTGCATCGTGAGGGACAGAGGAGACACCGTTCCAAGACAGCTTAAAACAAATGTGCACGCCAGGGCTGAGGTTCTCACTGGGGCTCAGAGGTGTACGCGGTGCCACTCAGAGAATAAAGCGCTCGTGGAGCAGGGCCGGACGCCTAAGCAGCATGCCGGCCTCCCGGGCGTCCAGACGCAGCCTTACCAAGGGGCATGATGGAGAGGTATTTGCCTCGGAACTTGCTGGTGATTTTGATTTCCTGGCGCAGTGTCCAGCCATTTTTGGATTCGGCGTGGTGTGCAGCAGCAGGGGGGTGATGGCTCACCTTGAAAAAGTGGGGTTCAAATCAGAAAGTGGAGGAAGAGACACTGCCTTTCACTGGTAACAAGCACCCCAAGTCCCCCAACCCGCGAGACCGGGGCCCCCAGTGCTGACGTCGGAGGAGGCTGGGATGGCAGCGACCAGCACCTCTGCCCAGACACCAGGGTGAGCATCGACAGACAGGAAGTGGTCCTGAGGCGCCGTTACCTGCTCACACAGGGACCGGTACCCGTTCTCCTCCAGCCGGTCCAGCTCGAAGGTCTCCCCGAGGATCGGGTTGAATGGCTTGCTGGTACGGAAGACAGTAGTGGAGTAGGAGGACACCGTGAAAGCTGCAACATAACAGAGCTGTTCTAGAGAGTTCTCGCACTTCGCAGCCCGGTCTAACAGCTCGTGGTACTCCAGATCTTCAGTCAGGCGCTGAAGTATGGACAAGGGCTCGTTAAAGTTCACCTACAAGGAAAAGAGTGGGTATAAAAACTTTGCCCAGGCATCGGGAGACAGGTTTTTTTGGGTTTTTCTGCAGGTGGAGGAAGACACTGAGATGCTGAGGCAATAAATCAATCACTGGGAGAGAAAAGGGAAGCCCAAGCAGCTCTCAGATTTGACCTGCAGCCGGCCACTCTCCCTGGTCAACAGTGCGGTCGGCGAGTGGCAGCGGGCACCATTTTCACGCCTGTTGCTATCTGTAAGCTGAGACCCAAGAGCCACAGGAGCCTTCATGCAGGGGTGTGGAGCACTCAAGCACAGGGACACTTAGAGGGAGGGAGGGTTTCAAGTTCTTGGAGAAGCAAGAAGAGATGGTCCATTTTGGGGGTCTTTTTGAGAGGCTGGCCTGGAACACAGATCTGCTTCCCCAGTGCCAGGGTGGCCCTCAGGCCCAGCTAGGGCAGCCCTGGCCTGACTGGGAAAGACGACTCCATTTGGCTCCTACCCTGCACTGGCAGCTGCTAAGTCCCAGCTTGCTCTGCAGGCTTTCTGGACATGGAATGATCGGGACGCGGCCGGGAGAGCTGTGCATGCTCTTACCAAAATGTTTTATTGTTTTCACAAAAATCCAACAGATTTAGATGTAAACAGGTATTTGCTGCTGCAGGCCTCGTTTACTCATTACTTTAACACCAGCTAGGGCCAGGGATTTAACCCTGGCGCTGCCGCCTGCCTCATGGAAGCAAGGTCCCGAGTTCGATCCCCATACCAAAAAGAAAAAAAAAAAGGAAAACACTAGCTAAGCATCAGGCGACGTGGGCCAGCGAGACCAGTGCTACCCGTGAGGATCACTTTGGCAGAAAAGTGCCTTCTGCAGTTCAGTCTGCCATGCACCAGCTGTGCATAGAACCTGCAGCCCTTTCCCCAGGACTTCACTGGCTAATGGCTTAGGAAACTTCCAGAAAGCATCCTCTGCAGGCCAAGCCTGCTCATCTTCTTTTCCTGCTGACTGCGCATGGTCCTGAAGGATCAGCAGAGACAGCGCTGTGGACCTGAGGACAAGCTAAGAGCAGGCCGCAGCCCAGCCGCTCCTGACTGCCAACCCAAGGCAGACGCCTGGCCGTGTGAAGGCAGGGCTGCTGGCGCAGTGGGAAGGAGCGGCTCATGGGAGCAGGGGAAGTGGCCCTGTCATGCTCCCATAAAGCCTTCTGGACATTACCTCATGAAGTACACTCCTCTGATTTTTTCAACTATTAAAAATTAAGGGGCCGGGGATTTAGCTCAGTGGTTCTGCTGCCTGCTTCGCAAGCGCAAGGTCCCGAGTTCGATCCCTGGTACCAAAAACAAACAAAAAAATTAAAAAATATAAAAATCATTCTTGGCTAGGTTTGCAGACCCCCAGCTGAAACCAATATATTTGGACTTGTGTTTTTAAGCTGAACCTGGAGCTGAGTGGTACACGCTGGCCCAGTACCAGGCCAATAGGCAGCGCTCAGCACATGCTTATGGATCAAGGAAGGGCAACACACGGACTGCCACACACTAAGAGCCCTGGCTGGAGTGCAGGGCAGAGGCAGCCCACCCTGGCCAGCCATGCTGGAGCCTTCCTGAAAGAGGCGATGCTCCAGCTGAATCCCACTGAGAAGGGTCTGGGCCCCCGCAAAAGAAAAGGGCCAAGGGTCAGGAGGAACCAAAGAAAAGTTCAGGCAAAGAGCAGAGCCTGGCCCACGGGAAGGAAGCACGAAGCCCACAAGGGCCTGCACTACACGCCAAGCAGCAAGACCCAGTCAAGGGCTCCAGACTGGAGGGCCGGGACCAATCACTGTGCAGCAGTGCGACCAGAGCAGAGCCCCCGAGGCCAGACCCCATCTTCCCTGGACAGGGACTCCGCTTCTGGCTCGGGCTGACCTGCCTTTGCTTCCATGCTCCTGAAGCCTTTGTCTGTCTGGTAGTATTTGCCACAACACCTCACCGGAAATTTCTTTTTTTTTCCACCTACTTCAGGTCTGTCCCTTTGAAACTACATGGCTCACAGAGACGGAAACGTGCTGTGCTTATCTCTGTGTGCCTGGCAGAGGAACCTGGCTGTGAACACCAGTCACTGAACACAGGCACCGCTCCTAGGCACTGTGGGAACGCACCAGACCCACAGCCACAACTACACCCAAACACTTTAACAGGAGGCCCAGGCCGGAGACTGCCCACCAGGGAGTGTGGAGTCCCAGCGGCACGCTCCCCAGAGCCAGGGGCCACCCGGCAGCTGCCAGCTGCACAAGGACCTTACCGGCATGGGGATCTTAGAGAGCTCTTTTCCGATGCAGTTCTTCATGATGCTCCACAGGTTGAGGCTATAGTTTGGTTTGTATGGGATCCGGGTTCTCTTCTCCTTCTTGGTCTCCTCTAGCTGGTGTTTGTACTGAGAGCAAGAACAAGGTTATTCAATCAGCCACAAAGAAGAGAAAACCTGCCATCTATAATACTCCCTTCACCTGCACTAAACAATAACAATAATAATAAAGACTCAGGACTTCCTGTTTCCTCACAGGTTCCAGTCTTTAGGAACACAGCCCTGCCCTGCCCTCCGACAACTTCCGCCCGAGTTACCTGCTCATCGAGGCTGATGTCACTGCTGGCTCCGCTGATGTTGCTGCCGGTGCGTCTGCAGGGACAGCAAGCTTGGGGTTAGAACCAGAGCAGACTCAAGAGTGGCCCTCCAGCCCTCCAGAGAGCAGAGGGCCAAGCCCAGTAACGACCACAGGAGGTGACCACAGGAGAACTGCAGGGGACACGTGGGAAGAGCTGCCGGGCTCCCCCGAGGGCAGGGCCCCGACTCGGTGAGCAGGGGTCGGAGGCTGCCGACCAGGCCCTGTCTGCCTCACCGCCCACGAGCACGTACTTGTGGCCCAGACTCTCCGGCACGGTGATGATCTCCGGGGCGTCGAAGAACTCGTTCTCGTCATCTTCGTCGCTCACGTCCCCTTTGCCGGCGCAGGCCTGATCTATAGGGAGAAGAGCTTCGCTCATTCCCGCTGGTGACTCTCACCAAACGCCTGGGTCCGGCTCTGAACTACCAGCCAGGAACACGGCCACAGATGGCAGAAGGCCAGAGAGGAACCAGAAGGAGTCAGGCATCTGCCTCTGCCAGACACGAACCGAGCTGGGGACGCTGCCGAGGGGCTGTACCTTTCCCGGGCCCCACACCGCCGGGGCTGTGGGACGGCAGCACCGTGGCCCCGCGGAAGGCCCTCTCCAGGTGGTTGTGTTGCTTGGCCAGCTGCTCCAGGGTCTCCTCCAGCCGGATCCGCTGGTCTCGCTCATATTGCAGCGACTTCTGCCACTTCTTACTGTGGGTCTGGGCCAGCATGAGGAAGTCTCTGCAGGCCTGCAGGGGAGTGGAGCTGTCAGACTCCGCCCCGGCCTCCAGGAGCCACCACACAACCTTATCCTGGGGACGGGGAGAAGCTGGGCCGTCCGCTCTGTGCCACACAAGGCCAGACCCAGGAGAGGGAGCATGGCTGCCACATTCTCTTATTCTCGCTGGTCTCGAGGTCCACACAAAAACCAAGTGAGCAGCAAATCCACACAAGGTATTCATGACAGCATCCTAAAGCTCGGCATGCAGTCTACACCATGAGATCTACAGAAAGAGGAGATGCAGCACAGCAAAACTGCTTCTAATGAATTCCTGACTAAACCAAGCAACCAGGAGCTAAGGAATTTAGATGGCGGTAGCAGGGAACTCCACTGACTTCAATACAGGGAAACTTATTTAGCTTTTGATCTTGAAAACTGGAAGGCCATTTCAGCTACCAAAGAGGGAATCTAGAAAGAAAACTTCAATCTGCTCACACCATCCCTCTGCTGTTCCCACTGAGTCTCGGTGCAAACACAGAGGGCCCTCGCCCGGGGCCCAAGGACCCTTCCCTGCCCTCTGGTGGCGCATCGTTTCCACTTCCTGGACACAGACCCCAGGCCCACGGCCCTCAGCATGAGCCTGCAGCGTCCTTCCTGTCCTCTGGCTCTAAGGTGATAAATCTGCGACTTTCAGGAAGGCGGCACCCGTCGCTTCTGCAGCGACATGTCTCCCGTCTCTTTCTATGGCCCGTCCCACTCTGCCCACACGCGGGTCACACGTGCACGCGCTCTTGGGACGAGTCCTCTCTCCAGATGGACCACGAGCAAACGCAGCTTATTCCTGCACACATCTCCAGCTCCTTGGCTCTTTCCACGCAAGCTGGGTAAAGTCCATGGACAGAAACAACATACACGTAAGAGTCCAGTCCCTTCCGGTTCTGGACCAAATGTCTACCCCAGGGGAGTGCACTGCTACCACACAGCTGGCAGCTGTCTAGCAACTGCGGCTCTGGGTTGGGGACTCCAAGCTGGCACGGTGGGGCTTCGGAGCAGACACCCCGCCTGTCTGGCCCACAGCAACCTCCCAATGAGCGGCTCACAAACCTCGCCTTTCCTGCTCCCAAGGGGACAGCGCGGCCCTCCCAGCTGCCCGCCCAGAAACGGGAAGGGCGTCCTCCTCCTAGCCCTGCTGCTCCAGCCAATCATCGTGTCCCAGCGCATCTTCTCCAACATCTCTGATCTGAACACTTCCTTCCGAGCACCCTCACGGGGGCAGGTGACTTAACTTCCGGGCCTCCCCAACCTTCTCCACAAACAAACAGCAACAGTAATGACCGCCAAGAGCTGCTGCTTCGCATTTTCAGAACCATGCGGGCGTCCAGCCAGGTCAGCTCTTCCAATCACGCTTCCCCCGCCTACTGCCTGCTACCCCCAAACCCATCCTGCAGGACCTGCACCCCTCTCCTCTTCTGCAGCCTCAGCTCCAGCGGCTTCCTCCTGTAGTGAGTCGATCATCGGCAGTTCCCACAACACAAATGAGAAAGACAGACCCAAAGACACACTGCCCCCAACTTCTCTCGTTTCGTTTTTCTTCTTTTCTTTTTTTAATTTCATGAGACAGGGTATCCCCGTGTAGCTCAGCCTGGCCTTGAACTGTGTAACCCAGGCTCTCCTTGAAATTGTGGTGATCGTCCTGCCTCAGCCTCCCAAGTGCTGGGACTATAGGCATGTGCCACTGCGCCCAGCTCATTCTTTTTAAAAGCCAAAGACTTATCTCAAGTGGCACTACACTTGCTTTGCAAACGCCAAGATCCTGAGTTAGATCCCTGATACAAAAAAAACAAAAACAAAACTCTGATGCTGGAGACTGAACCCCAAGCCCTTGCACCCACCAGACAAGCGCTCTGCCACTGAGTGACCCCCCGTTCTTTTGAGCAACACCGATCACAACTGCCAGACAGAGTGTCAGGCCCTCCGTACACTCCACCTCCATCCCGATGGCACCCCCAGCACTCCTGGGAGGGCCATGCCCGTACCTGAGCCCCTGGCGGACGGAGGCTGTGCAGAAGGTTACAGAAGGCAGGCATCCATGCCCGGCCCTCCCCGTGACCTTTCCTTGCAGAGACTTCCCCGCTCCTTGGGCGTTCAGTGTCCTGGTCGGCTGCCACGCCTGCACCCAGCACACTCTGTGGGTGCCCAGTGCTCCGAGGGCAGGGCCCCAACTCGCCTCATGGGACACAGAGCTACTCATATAGCAAATGACCACCCTGACCTGTCACACTGACTTTGTCAAGATTCGGTAGGAAGAAAAGTGACGTCCTGGGCAATCCAAAGACTGTGTGAACACGGTCTCCCCCGATGCAGCGGCCCACGAGGAGCATGTGCACTGCCCTGAAGGCGCTGCTACCGTGACCCAAAAGGAACCCAGAACAGTGTGCTGGTCCGGAGGGCACAGCGGGCCTCCTCATGTAGCTCTCCTGTGGAAGGGAACTAAGACAGCTCTCCAGGTGAGATCAGGTACCGGGAGAGGCAGCACAGCACTGCTCGGACCACAGGTTCACCTCACGCCTCTCCACGCCTCTGGAAAGCCAGGGCACTTTGTGCTTATCTGCAGCCTTCACCTAAGCAGCTAAAATGTCCCCAGACCCAGGACAGCAACCCTAGGGGCTGGGAGGAGCTGAGAGACAGAGGCTGAGGATCCTGTCGGGCCAACAAGGCCACCCGGCAGTCAGAGACTGACCAAGGGCAAATCGGTGCCACGGCGCTCCGCACCCCACAGGCCAGAGCGCAATGGCCAGAGGACACGACGGTGCGAGTGGCAGAAAGACTCACGCGGAGCCTCACTTCCAACAGATTACGCTGGAGAAAATAAAACACAGCGGCATCTGGGCTCACAAGCACCATTTGCAAATACTTTTCTCAAACAGAAGTCTGGCAAAATTTTGTTTTTGATTCAAACGCTGCCTTGGGTGATGGACACCACTGCGGCCACCCTTCTGCACGAACATGGGCATGGCTGAATTTTCCAGAATCCCAGAATGAACCTGAGGCACCACTGTAAATGCAGCCACAGCCCCCAGGACCCAACTTCAGCGTCACTGTCGGCCTTGCCACAGAGGCAGGCAGGGCCCTGGCCTGCTGACTCCCTCCAGTGCCAGCCACCCCTCATGGTCGGGGCTGGTTTCGCAGCAAACAAGGCAACCCAAGCCCGCGTAGGGCGCAAGACCAGAAGCTCCAGGCCCCATCACGGGCACCGTGACACAAGGAGGGAGGGGGGCTCAGTGACCCCGTTAACTCACGTTGATCATGGCGTTGGACGTTATCCGGAAGAGTGTAGCCCGCTCGTTGACCTGCTTGATCTTCTCATTGCTCTCTGCCGGCAGCTTGAGGGACTCCAGCTCGCTGAGGGAGCGCTGCAGCGCTGTGCCGTGCTTGGCGATCAGGTCGTTGCACGTGCTCAGGTCCTCTACCTTGCTGGACAGTGTTCTCAGTGTGTTCTGCAGCTCCGTCTTGTCCGTCTGCGAGACGGACTCTTCGTCTCCAGACTCATCTGCGGGGAAGCACGAGAATGCGTGATGCCCAGCAGGGACCAAGCCCATCCCGCGAACACCTGCAACTCACACCGGCGGCTCTCCCATAACACACCCTGAAGAAGCCTCGTCTGTTCGGGCCTGCTAGCCTTCACACTGAACACTTTGTAGCTGCAAAGTGCTTTTCTAGCAGTGTGACTTCCTTTGGAGGAGCTAACACTGCACTAAAATTAAAACAAAAGAAGAAAGAAGAGGCCTACCCTATCTGCTATAAGACGTGGCCAAGGTCAAAAGATTTACAGAGCACTGAATTGTCCCCTCACTGCCTAGCAGATGTTAAACACAGCGTGGGAATCGAGAGACTAAAACAAGTGACAAAGCCATGTCAGCAGGTGACACACAAACCCTGCTTCGCTCCAGTGTAATCAAACATCTAAAGTTCCAGAGCCAAGTCCTACCCTGCTCCTTTAAGAAAAATCAAAATCAAACTTTAGCTCAGTGATTCCACCACCTGCCTTACAAGTGCAAGGTCCTAAGCTTGATCCCCTGTACAAAAAAAAAAA